AAAGGGGGAAAATACAGAGCAAAATTTCTATTTTTAATGGACTCCAGGCTTCCTGGAGCCATGAAGGTTGGACAGACCCCTGAAACTATTGATCTGAGACAATCTTTAAACCTTAAACCACAAATATCCCCTGAAGTATTCTTAAAATTACACAATAGCTTAGCTTAACTAGTAAAAAATGTCTGCTTTGAGCATTATGCTCTTTTAAGAACTATCTATATGGGATCAAATTGACAACAACTCAAAAGATTGGATAGAAATCATAGGCGACAGTTGAATTTATGTTAATGGAGGAGAAAAAAGTTAGAAAAGGAGGGTGAGAATGGTTACACAACTTGAAGAACATAATGTCACTAAACGGTACATGTAGAAACTGTTGAGTTGGTATATGTTTTGCTATGTATATTCTGAACAACCACAACAAAATAAATAAAATTATATAAAAAAAAAAATTGTGAGGATGGGAGTGATGACCTCTAAGCTTTTCACGTACCAGACTAGAAACCATAAGTACTCCAGTGAAATTTTCATTTCAGTTATTGAAATTTTCATTTCTAAAATTTCCATTTTTTTCTTTTTTTCATGGCTTCCATTTCTCTGCTGATATTTTTCTTTTGTTCACTTATTAAGAACTTATTTTGCTTCAATTATTTGAACATATTTTCCTTTAGTTCTTTGAACACGTTTATAATAACTGTTTAAAATATTTGTCTGCTAAATTCAACGCCTAGGCCATCTCAGAGTCAGTTTTCATTGGTGGCTTTTTTCATTGACTATGAGTCACATTTTCCTGTTTATTTCCATGTATAATAATTTATGTTTGTCTAATCAAAATCAATGATGATGTTTCCACTGATGTATTTTAACTACTCTAACAAAGAATTCTTGTCTTTTTAAGGAATTCTTAAATCACACTTGAAGAAAGGAAAAGGACTTTAAAAAGACAAGAAAGAAAGAAAAGACCAAAATGGATGTCAGAAGAGACTGTGAAACTTGTTCTTGATCGTCGATGAAGTAAAAGATCTAAACAGAAGATTTCAAAAGGCTGCTTGAGAAGACAAAGTCAAGTATTATAATGAAATGTGCAAAGACCTGGAGTTAGAAAACCAAAAGAGAAAAACATGGTCAGCATTTCTCAAGCTGAAAGAAGTGAAGAAAAAATTCAAGTCTTGAGTTGCAATATTGATGATTTCTATGGGCAAGATACTGAAAGAAGCAGAAAGCATCAAAAGAAGATGGAAGGAAAACACAGAGTCATTGTACCAAAAAGAATCAGTCGACTTTCAGCCATTTCAGGAGGTAGCAAATGATCAAGAACTGATGGTACTGAAGGAAGAATTCAAAGCTGCAGTGAAGGCACTGGCAAAAAACAAGGCTCCAGGAATTGACCGAATACCAATTGAGATGTTTCAAGAAATGGGTGCAATGCTGGAAGTGCTCATTCGTCTATGCCAAGAAATTTGAAAGACAGCTACCTGGCCAATCAGCTGGAAGAGATTCATATTTGTGCCCACTCCAAAGAAAGGTGATTCAACAGAATGTGGATATTATCAAACAATATCATTAATATCACACAATTAAAATTTTGCTGAAGAGAATTCAAAAACGGTTGCAGCAGTACACCAACAGGAAACTGCCAGAAAGTCAAGCTAGATTCAGTAGAGGATGTGGAATGAGAGATATCATTTCTGATGTCAGATGGAACCTGGCTGAAAGCAGAGAACACCAGAAAGATGTTTACCTGTGTTTTATTGACTATGCAAAGGCATTTGACTGTGTGGATCACAACAAATTATACATGACATGAGGAAGAATGGAAATTCCAGAACACTTAATTGTGCTCATGAGGAACCTGTAAATAGATGAAGAGGCAATTGTTCAAACAGAACAAGGGTATACTGTGTGGTTTAAAACCAAGTAAGATGTGGTCAGGGTTGTATCCTTTCACCACACTTATTCAATCTGTATGCTGAGCAAACAATCCGAGAAGCTGGACTATATGAAGAAGAATGGGGCATCAGGATTAGAGGAAGACTCATTAACAACCTGCCATATGCAGATGACACAACCTTGCTTGCTGAAAGAGAACTTAAAGCACTCGCTGATAATGTTCAAAGACTACAGCCCTCAGTATGGATTAAACCTCAAGACAAAGAAAACAAAAATCCTCACAACTGGACCAATAAGCAACATCATGGTAAACGGAGAAAAGACTGAAGTTGTCAAGGATTTCATTTTACTTGGATCCACAATCAACGCTCATGGAAGCAGCAGTCAAGAAATCAAACAATGAATTGCATTGAGCAAATCTGCTGCAAAAGACCTCTTTAGAGTGTTGAAAAGCGAAGATGTCATTTTGGGGTGTGCCTGACCCAAGCCATGGTATTTTCAATCACCTCATATGCATTTGAAAGCTAGACAATGAATAAGGAAGACCAAAGTAGAATTGACAACTTTGAATTATGGTGTTGGTGAAGAGTACTGAATATATCATAGACTGCCAGAAGAAAGAACACATTTGTCTTGGTAGGAGTACAGCCAGAGTGCTCCTTGGAAGTGAGGATGGTGAGACTTCATCTCATGTACTTTGGACATGTTATGAGGAGGGACCATCATGCTTGGTAAAGCAGAGGGTCAGCGAAAAAGAGGAAGACCCTGGAGGAGATGGATTAACACAGTGGTTGCAACAGTGGGCTCAAATATAGCCATGACTGTGATGATGGCGCAGGACCGAGCAGCATTTCGTTTTGTTGCGTATAGGGTCCCTATGAGTCAGAACTGACTCAACAGCATTTAACTAACTATACCAATGTTAGCCTTAAAAAGAAGTGGAAGAAAGACTGCCAGTTAGATTGGTGCCCTCTTATTCCTGGATAAGGAGGCATCAAAGAAATCTAATTCACATTTAGCTGAATTCTCACCTATGCTCAGAAAGGTAGAATTAGATATGAAAGAAGTGGTTAAGTTATAGATTTTACCTTGTAGTTACAGTATCACCACAAGGATCTCCAGATGAACCAAACTAAGCAAAGCTATATATTGCCCCTTTTCTGTTCAGAAGGAGCCTTGGTGGCACAGTGGTTAAGCACTCACCTGGTAACCAAAAGGTCTATGGTTCGAACTCACCAGCCACTTCAACGGAGTAAGGTGGCAGTCTGCTTCTATAAAGACTACAGCCTTGGAAACCTTATGGGGCAGTTCTGCTCTGTCCTTGTGGGTTGCTATGAATCAAAATCATCTCTACAGCAATGGAATTCTGTTCAGAAAAGAGCGCTGTGGTGCAATGGCTAAGCGTTCGACTGCTAACAGAAAGGTCAGCAAACCAACCAGCCCCTCTGCGGGAAAAGAAACCTGGAGATCAGCTCCCGTAAACATTACAGCCTAGGAAACCCTATGAAGAGGTTCTACTCTGTCATACAGGGTCATTATGAGTTGGAATTGACTCAAGGGCACACAACAACATTCTGTTCGGAAGGTCTCTGGGTGGCACAAATAGTCTGTGCTGGTTTATTAACCTAAAGGTTAGAGTTTGGAAACCACCCAGTGGCACAATGGAAGAAAGGCTCTGCTTCCATAAAAATTGTTTTTGTTAGTTTCTGTCAAGTTGATTCTGACTCATGGTGACCCCCTGTGTGCAGAGTAGAACTGCTCTATAGGGTTTTCAAGGCTGTGACCTTTCGGAAGCATATTGACAGGTTTGCCTTCCAAGGTGCCTCTGGGTGGTTTCAAGACACCAATGTTTGGCTAGTAGGTGAGTGCCTAACCATTTGCACCACCCAGGGTCTCCTCCATAAAGATTAAGACCAAGAAAACTCTATGAAGCACTTCTACACTGTAACACATGAGGTCTTCATGAATTGTAAATGACTCCACAGCAAGGGGTTTTATTCTGTTCAGAAATGTATTCAGCATGACCTGAGGAATTAAAGAGCCAGATTAAACCATAGGTTAAGTATGAGATTTCCAGAGGTTTCCTCATGCTTTCTGAAAAGCATATTGAATTTCTACACCCTCTAACTGAAAAGAACTTCAGCTTCATAAAATCAGTTCATGAGGGACAAGTTCTAACAGTTTATAGACAAGCATGATGCATATAAATAAACCGTATTTTCAGGCTTTCATAGTCTGCAAGGGGTAATGAAACCTCCTTGTTGGTGGTGGTGGTGTTCTTAAGTGCCGTTAAGTTGGTTCCAACTCATAGTGACCCTATGTACAACAGAACAAAACACTGCCTGGACCTGTCCCATCCTCACAATCGCTGTTATGCTTAGGCCCATAGCTGCAGCCACTATGTCAATCCATCTTGTTGAGAGGATCTTCCTCATTTTCGCTGACTCTACTTCACCAAGCATGATGTCCTTCTCCAGGGACTGGTCTCTCCTGATAACATGTGCAAAGTATATGAGACAAAATCGAGCCATTCTTGCTTCTAAGGAGCATTCTGGTTGTATTAGATAAGATAATATGTGTAAAATGGGTGGTATCATAAAAGTTCAATAAAATTTAATAATTGTTAATATTATTATTGCTAATTTTCCTTCCTTTTTTCTTCCTCCTCTTTCTCCTCACCCTCTCCCCCTATTCTCCTCTTACTTTTCCTTCTTCTAATGGTGATTTAGCAAAGTTGGAGGTTGGATAGACTGGTCAAGGACCTTGGAAATATCTTTTTTATGTTTTTTCCCTCTGAAAATACAGGGGAAACAGGGTATCTTCTTTCCAGGATCTGGTGGGGACAAAGAATCACCCGAGATTATGCTTTAGCTAAACGAACAATCTCTTGCTGGAAGTAAAAAGGAGAGAAGTTAGACCCTTCGGCACCCTAAAGCTTAGGGAACTTTACTAACTCATTTGTAGAACTTGCCAAGTATCAGTCTTGCTTTAAACTCAAGTTGCCTCACCTACTTTAAAGTACACCCTTGCATGCTGCTGTGTGTAAATGGAAGCAAGTCTGTGGACCTCCCAGTCTGACACCCCAAAACAAGGATTGGCTTAGACCCCACCTGCAGGTTTAAGTACAGGCTGCAGGTGCCTGCAGAGCACTGTGCACTTGCTGCGCAGAAGTAGGTGGCTGAGTCTCCAGGCTGGGAGGCCGCAATACGCAGAGAGAGGTGTTTGGCACTTTTATTGAGGAAGACTGTGAATCTTCCCTCTTCATTTCCATCCACACCTGGACTTACAGATATCAGGGGAGCAGGGCCTTTAGCAGGGGATTTTTTGTACCATACGAAGTAAGCAAACAGATCATTATTGTAATCACAGTTCAAAATGGAAATTTCTCCTTCCTGGGTCTTCAGGGATGGAGGATTTTGCTTAACCTGCTGGTCATCCTTCTCCTTTGGTTGACTATTGGCCCCTGATTGGAAAGAAAGTAACAGATTTAAAATTTTATTCTTCAAGTCCCCACCGAAAACCCACATGAGTCAAAAAAAAGGAAGCACCTCCAGTTATCTCATCTCCCACCCTTGTAGTGGATCTTGGAGTTTTTCTACTATATTCAAATTTCCCTTCCATAACTCACAGTCTGACTGAAGCCATAGAACCAACAATAATGCTCCCAGGACCTTGTCCATTCTTCCTGTGAAGACTCAGGTTGTCTTCTCTCCCTCCCCAGGCAATTGTAAATTTGGCCTTAACTTCCTACACATCATTCACTTCCTTCCACAGGCCCTTCTATTTCACACATGAATATCTTGTGTGTGTGTGTGAAAGTTATTTCTCTTTATGAAAGGAAGCACTGCCCCCTTTGGTACACATGTAGAACATTTCTGAAAATGTATTTCCTAAAGATCAGTTTGTAATGCCTTCCCCATTTAAAAAAAGAAAAAAAGTTAGAACAAGAGATTGTAAGAGAAGGAAAGGTTTTCAAAGATCACTTAATTTAAATATATATTTTTGCAATAGTAGAAAATGGTAGCTGAGATATACAGAATTATATTAGGTCAAATCATGTCAACTGTCATACATAGGCAAATACCTTATTTTAAAATATTAAGAATTGATGTTTACTGGGGACACGTAAAGGCATGTATCTAATACAATGATGACAAATTTCAAACATGGGGAAAGTTTATTAGCTTTGCCTTTAATGTAATTATATTCTAACGTGGTCTTTAGATGTGTCCAAATTTTCCCTGGTTAAATAAACGGCACATGATAATTAAATAAGAATTAAATTTTGTGTGCCTCTCTTAAAAATGCAAATCAACACAACAAAATTCAACCTCTGTGTTAGATCACCCTCTGAACTGGATTATCTCTTGGAGTTTGGAGGAGATTACTTAGTGTGTTCTGTATTCTCAAATGAGAAAAAATGGCATGATCCTATAAAATCTGTAAACAACATAAGACCATGACCTTGAAAGTTACCAGAAGATGTCAAAAAGGCAGCATATTTGTTTGCCTTTACTCTTAGTCTATACGTACTGTATTTCTCCACAGTTTAATCTGACAGAAGTCCTCATTCTTAAATACTCAGTAGTCTAAAGAGAAAGACAAACTACATACTTACAACATGGCATGATGTGTGAGAGGTTTTATGAAGGAAACATAACGGTGATCACTTAGTTCTGTTGAGAAGGGTAGCAGTGTGGAGTCAGGGAAGGTCTCACAAGGGCGGAGCTCTTTAGATTGCTTTTAAGAGAGGAGATTGACTAGGTGGTTGCGAAAAAGGGCACTCCGGGCAAAGGTATCAGCAATTTCAAAAGCACACAGGCAAGTTATAGCCAGGAGTGCTAAGGAAAGGTGTGTAGTTTATTATAGTGGAGTTTAGTGCCTATGCAGAGGAAATTTATGGGTTGACGTTAGAAAGGGCAGCTATATTACATGCAAATCATGAGGAGCCATGTAGGAGAGACTAAGACTGACTTTCCAAGTGCGGGGGAACTTCTGGACTATAACACACACGCATGCAAAAATACATTATATAGGTAAAATTAAATACACAATGCAAAATTAAAGCACAGACACAAGCAGAATCGTTAAATATGGGTGACACTCTGTCTCCACACAGGAAATTGATTTGGTTGGGGGATGGGATGAGACAAGTTTTTCTTCAGCAAGCTGTGTGGGTGATTGTGGCTTGTTGAAAGCTTACAGTTTTAGCTTTGCGATACTTTGAAAAGCAAAAGAAATATCATGATCCTCATCTGTGGACACATATAATGGTTAAATGGCAATGTTCCTGCAATGTCTGCTCCCCTTGCAGCTCTTGTCACTGTGCCACTCCTAGCAGGATAATATATGACTGAGTGTTCTTTCTCAGCTAACCATTACTTCAGATGGAAGGATGTTTTATCCTTGTCCAGATCAGCTGTGAATCCCTGATGCTGTCTTCTGAAGTGTGTCTCAGGAGAAATTGAAGGCCTTGGATGGCATACTAGACATAATAGGAAAGAACGGGGACTCCATAGTGACAGTAATTGAGAAGTTGCACCTTACCTGTCCTGAAGCCCCATCAGAGGCAGAGACCCGGTACTTGGGCTGAGTGACTGCCTGGATTCTTCTCCTCCTGTGATTTCAATGCTGCAACAGGGAGAGATCCTCACACTGAAGAACATGTGTCAGTCAGGTGACTCTAAATCATATCACAGAACAATTAGAATGAAATAGAACTGTTTTTTCTTTTGTTTTGTTTTTAACTGAGAGTGATGATCATTACAAGAACTGATGATGTCTCAGTTGCCCATAGGCAGGAGGCTCCTTTCTAGAGGTGGAAAGATTTCAAGTGCTTTCAGCCTCCATAAGAGCAGAGGATGAATTTATTGAATGCTCAGCTCTTCATCAGGGACCATCATGAATAACACAAACAGTGGCTATCACTGCCCAAAGCATGCTATGAGAAGTCTTGTTGACACTCTCGTTCCTAGAGAAGTAACTACTGTTAAGAGCCAGAACTTCAGCCTTGTTCAGTTCTCTAGATAAGGCCATGCAGAATCACTGGAGATGGGTGACACAGCTGTTTCTGTACAGGAAATAGGCTTGGATGAGAGAGACAATGGGACAAGTTGTTAGAGCATAACCACACTCATATTTACATAGACTGAACAGAGCCTGTTGATATGTTTAAAGACGCAGCTCTTCCTTAATAAAGACTCCATACTACCAGGAATTGTGGGGCATGGGAGTTTATTCCTTTGACATCTTTACTGTAACAAACCAGAATTAGATCAGTATTTAAAAAAATATATTTATTAAATTATATTGCAAGTAATCCTTTTGCATACCTTTCTAATGAGAATTTTTAAAATTAAAAGTATGTTATTCCTAGATTTCTATATGGTGATAAACATGTTTCCTTACACACAACATTTCATGGGAACAAAAACCACATCACTCTTTTTTCTCTACTTTCCCTTTAAATGCATGTTGCTGTAAATGCATTCTTTGAAGGTCTACTATTTTTTGGTTATACTAGTTTCTGATAATCAATCAGAAAATTTCTTCCAACAGATATCTGGACACATGTATCTTAAAGACAGCAAAACTTCTCATTCTATCTGCTGGAACCTGCTGAGCTTTTCCGTTTGTTACATCTGACTATGACAGCCTTCAGTGAGCAATCGCTGCTGTTTCACTTCTGCTTTCCATACTTCACACAAGTTGCTTTTTGACCAGCTCTAATCTGGTATCATACAAAGAAGGGAGTTTTGGGAAACTTGGTTTCCAGCTTAGTGTAGTACAAACCACCATCACCCATGCCTTGTCAACTTTGCATTGAATCATACCTCATTTAATCATATTTAGCTTCCAAAGAAGACAAATGGAGGCAAATGTATAGAGACTAAAGTTTATCAGTGGTTACCAGGGGTGGGAGAGAGAGAAAAAGAGGGATTCATTGCTTAGGAGAAGCTGAGCTTCTGTTTAGAGTGATGGAAAAATTTGGAAATGGACAATGGTGATGATTGCACAACATGATGAATGTAATTCATGGTACAGAATTGCATATGCAAAAAGTGTTGAAATGTCAAATATTTTGTTTTATAGATAAATAGATAAATGTTGTTGTTGTTGTTAGGTGCCATTGAGTCTGTTCCAACTCATAGCGACCCTATGTACTACAGAATGAAACACTGCTGGGTCCTGCACCATCCTCACGATCGTTGTTATGCTTGAGCCCATTGTTGCAGCCACTGTGTCAATCTATCTCCTTGAGGGTCTTCCTCTTTTTCACTGACCTTCTACTTTACCAAGCATGATATCCTTCTCCAGGGACGGATCCCTCCTGATAACCTGTCCAAAGTGTGTAAGACGTAGTCTCGCCATCCTTGCTTCTAAGGAGCGTTCTGGTTGTACTTCTTCCAAGACAGATTTGTTCGTTCTTTTAGCAGTCCATGGTATATTCAATATTCTTCACCAGCACCACAATTCAAAGCGTCAATTCTTCTTCAGTCTTCCTTATTCATTGTCCAGCTTTCACATGCATATGAGACAATTGAAAATACCATGGCTTGGGTCAGTTACACGTTAGTCCTCAAAGTGATATTTTTGCTTTTTAACACTTTAAAGACGTGTTTTGCAGCAAATTTTCCCAGTGCAATATGCAATTTGATTTCTTGATTGCTGCTTCCATGGATATTGATTGTGGATCCAAGTAAAATGATGTCTTTGACAACTTCAATCTTTTCTCTGTTTATCACGATGTTGCTTATTGGTCCAGTTGTGTGGAGTTTTGTTTTCTTTATGTTGAAGTGTTATCCATACTGAAGTCTGTCATCTTTGATCTTTATCAGTAAGTGCTTCAAGTACTTTAAGCAAGCAAGGTTGTGTCATCTGTGTATTGCAGGTTGTTAATGAGTCTTCCTCCAATCCCAATGCCACATTTTTCTTCATATAGTCTATCTTCTTAGATTATTTGCTCAGCTTACAGATTGAATAGGTATGGTGAAAGGATATAATCCTGAAGCACACCCTTCCTGACTTTAAACCCCGCAGTATCCCCTTGTTCTGTTTGAACGACTGCCTCTAGGTTTATGTACAGGTTCCTCACAAGCACAATTAAGCAGTCCGAAATTCCTATTCTTCAAAATGTTATCCATAATCTATTAAGATCCACACAGTCAAACGCCTTTGCATAGTCAATAAAACACAGATAAACAGTTTTCTGGTATTCTCTGCTTTCAGCCAAGATCCATCTGACATCAGCAATGATATCCCTCATTTCACGTCCTCTTCTGAATCCAGCTTGAATTTTTGTCAGTTCCCTGTTGATGTACTGCTGTAATCATTTTTGAATTATCTTCAGCAAAATTTTACTTGTGTATGATATTAATGATATTGTTTGATAATTTCCTCATTCTGTTGGATCATCTTTCTTTGCAATGAGCATAAATATAGGTCTCTTCCAGTCGGTTAACCAGGTAGCTGTCTTCCACGTTTCTTGGCATAGATGAGCGAGCACTTCCGGTGTTCCATCTGCTTGTTAAAACATCTCCATAAATTCAACATACAGACTAATGGTTATGAGCCAGGGGAGACTTTGTATTCCAGAAGGTAATTGACAATGTCTGGAGACATTTTTGATTGCCAGAACCGGGGAAGCGGTGCTACTGGCATCTAGTGAGTAGAGGCCAGAGATGCTGCTAAATATCCTACAATGCACAAGACAAACCCCTAACAAAGAATTATCTGGTCCCAAATGTTAATAATGTCATTTTTGAGAAGTTCTGAT